TTCTGGATGGGAAAAAGATACAGGGGAGTTTGAAGATTCATCATTTCACAACTTTGCTTTTCACTCTGCTTTTTTCTGGGACCACACCACTTTGCCTCCAGAGTTATTCAGGACAAAAAAATGTATTAAAATGCTACAGCTTCCTTTTATTCTCATTTACAGATCTGTAAAGTAAGAAATGGGAAAGAATAAGAAGGCCTTTATATGGTTCAAATGTATAACATGGGCTACAGCCTCATAAAACAAATGTAGGCAACCCAGAGAAGCTAAAGAAGGTGTATGTCTCCTTTGTTCCAGGACACCTGCAGAAGATAAAACTGTTGTAGAGAGAGATCTAAGGATCTATTATCCATTGTGTTTTATGAAGGGAGAACTTGTTATTTGGAGATTATATGTTATCATGAACCAATGACAAATTTTATTATAAATGTCATTTGGTATCAACACAAGAATAGTTGTAGGAGATTTTTAAGTTCAGTTCCCAATTTTTGATTGCAGATTTAACGAGTCTTCCCTTTACCTGTCTCTTTGCCTTTTCCTTTCCTTTAATACGTACTTAACACTAAAAGTCACTGTGTTGTACATAAAGAAAAACAGTGTTGTGTTGGCACTATAGCAAATATGATATATGAATTAGCAGTTCACTTCTTAATACTGAAACTAGAGAAAGGTACACAGAAATCCTGTACTCTCTGAAGCATAGGAAATATACATACCTTTTCTTCTTGTACTTTTGAAGACATTGTGCCTTCAATTGCAGGCAAAATTTACAATGGATAATAAACAGGATTCACATTCTCAGCACTCAGTCAATTAAAAGAAATACCAATTGCATTCTGTGAATATCGCCGTGTTGCCAAACCATCAGAGGAGTTGGTGAGTAGGAGGAGTGAAGGTGTGAGAACTGAAAAAATTCCTACTTGATCAGTCACAGAAGCTAACGTGTTAGCTCAGCAGCAGGGAAGCTGGGACGCTCCCAGCTGCTGCAAAAACTGCATGTATATGATCCCTGGCACCACCAGTTGGGACAAGATGAATCACAAGTGCATTAGTAGCAAGCTACCATGTCACAGTGGAACAGATGGGGGTGGTTACTTGCCTGATTGATTACCTCTTGGGCTACCAAGGGCTTTTCCAGCAGGCTAATGCCTTTGTGTTGGCACTGGAGTTCCTGGGAGCAGTGTCTGCTTGGGTCAGCACCATGCAGAAATTGCTGCCTGTCCGGTGCATGGGCACCCCACAGAGGAAGAGGGAAGTAAGCTAGGAGCAAGGGGTAGTGGGTGACTACAACATGCACCGGAATAACACACTTCCCAGGCCTCCCTGATAGACACTGCTCTTAATGAATTTTCAGGCACATGCTGAGTTAACAGGAGTGAGCAGCATTGAAACATCCTTTAGTTATATCCAGTGCTTTACAAAGGCTGACTAAAAAATGAAGGAACAGCAGGAGTAGAAGGAGGAGAACAAGATGGGACAGGGAGTGGAGGGGGAGAACAGCTCTATTTTTCAAGTGCTGAATACAAAACCTCTGCAACAGATGATTTTACATGCAAGCCTGTACCTTATCAAGGCAAAGATAAAGTAAGTGGAGTCAAGTATTTCTCCTCTGCACACAACATATAGCCCCTTACTCTGCCCAGCCAGCTTTCTCAACTTTGAGCTTTAGAATATAAACAGCCAATAAGTAAGGACAATAACTGTAGCTCCTGCTGAGAGCTAACTCTGCCCATCATGCGTTTGCTGGGTCCTAATACAGGACAGTGAATAAAGCTTCATTACAGAACAATGGAGGTAGCTGCCAGAGACTACAGATTTGAATAAACAACAAATAAGCAACATCTGCTCCAGCATATGTGTATGGTAAAAAAAAAAATCACAAAATAAAAGAATCTGTAAATGCCAAAAGCAACACTAAACTGCCAGTGCCAGTGTAGAGTGAATTTTTAATTGGACATGCATACAGGCAGGCTGTGGGTATTAGTCTCACATATGTCTGGTTGCTGCCAACCTGGGACTATAGATGAATTTAATTAAATAAGGATTATCCCTTCTCCCCAGTACAATTACTTATTTATAACAATGATAAAATTGCATAATAAGAAAAGATTGTAATATTTTTAAAAACAGAGCTAGCAAACACTCTTCTTTTCCTGTAAGTCATTCAGGAGTGTTTAGGGGTTTGAACGTCTTTTAAAATTAAGTCTCGGGATTCTGCCAAGAGAGGGGGGAAAAAAGCCTTATCATAAAGTCTACTGCAGTTAAACAGCTAGAATCTACATTATAAAGAAATATAAAGAAGACACACAGCAGCCAGGGAATTGGCTTTCATGGGGCATGTAGAAAAATAGGCAATTGGACTAAAATTGAGGCCAGGTTGCACAGCCAAGGGACAATACTACTGGGACAAGTACTTCTATACCCATCTCTAATATGCTCTATCTAGGCAAAGCAGTCTGTTCCTGTCTATCGCTATTTCTTCTCATATTGGGAACCTCACAGTTTCACTCAGGTGAGTTCTCATTTCAGCAAGGTCATGTCAAGCTCTCACATCTTCATTATCACTCACATCCTTTCCAAAAGAGCCCACAGTCAAATGAGAGTGGACCCTTATGGTATCAGGTGCTCTATGAGCCTTGAAAAAGAGGCAGCCTGTGCCCTAGGGAATTTGGAGGCCAAATACAAATTCAGGGATGCTCTGACAGAAGGTGAGGTTTTCTTTGTGTAGGCTCCTGATGGACTCTATTTCCCACTCACTCATGTTTTGAGGACCCCTACTTATGGGTTTGAGCCACATTCTGATGAATTTGATAGGAACCTTCTTAAAAGGTATGTAAGCAAGTTGAAGCCGCAAAAATACTTCTTTGGGTATGAAGGTATATGCCATTTAATAGCAGTGGAAAAAAGAGGAAGAATATGAAAAAATCCTGTAAAAAAAAGCTGGAAATCTCCATTTTAAATTTAGGCCAAGCATCAATGACTTTAAAACAAGAGAGAAAACGAGAGAGAGAGAAAGAAAGAGAGACTACAGTATTTAAACAAAACTCTATAATAGTATTATGATTCTGCAAAGGCATACACCTTACATAAGTTCAGTTCACTTGTATGATTTTGGTTGACCACTTAACTGAATGACAGTCTTATCAGAATTAAATCAAATAATTACTGTCTGCATTTTCTGCCATGAAATTAAGACTAAACATGTGCTTATTCCTAGGTCATAAAAGAGTATTCAGGACATACTGGGGTTTTTTCCCCCTTGTCTTGTGATTGCTATACCTGTACAACCTGTTAAATCCTCTAAATAAGGGCGTCCATAATTAAATAGTGCAGTCATTTTTTAGAGATGGACAAAGAAAAGAAAAAAAGCATTTGTGTCTATGTTGTTATGTTTTGAATTCTTTCCCCACTGGGCTATGTCCATATTCTCTTTTTTTTAATTTATCACTGAATGTTTATCCAAATGGTGTTTTTCATTGCACCAATCCTGGGAAATTGCTATTCTTTCTGTAGATACTGTTATGAGCAAAACTACTGCTATGGGTTCTCATCTTTGTTCATGAAGATCAAGACATCTATCAGAAAACAAAACCAAAGTAACCTCATGTAATTCAGATGATAAGTCTGAATAGCAACAAGGACCTGACATTAAACCCCATAAGATGCCAGAACCATGTGTGGACAGACTGGACACATACACCTCTGACAGAATGCCATAGGTATGCAATCTATTACATCGTTAGACATCACACCACCACCACCAATCCCTCAGCAAAACAGCAAATATGTTTATAGATAATTTGAATACACAAATAAATGCTTCAGAACGAGGAATTCATTATTCTATTCCATCACCTTCACTGAGCTCTAGGATTAACTAAGGAAACCTCACACATTTTGATAAAAACACTGACCTCACTGAAGTCAGTAGGACATATACCTCTACCTTAAACAGGCTCACAATTTCACTCGTGCAAATACAGCTGTCACTCTAGTCAAGGATACCTCTGAATGCCCAGCACCAGTGGATATCTGAGGCTTTTTTAGATACCTGTGTAGGAACTTGGGTTGCCGTATTATTTGTGTTGGCTCCATGGAAGTAATATAACGTAGTTCACGAAAGGTGAGGGCTCACCAAACTTCCAGCTTTCTCCTTTGCTGTCTGCTACTTGCTACTTATTAGTTCTTTCACATAAACTTATGCCCCATTTAGAAAAACCTAAACCCTGCCATTTCTGCTCTAAGCACTGGATAGGAAAGGTCTCTACGGAGCAAGGACAGGTATTTCCTGCTTTGGAGACTGAAGAGCCATTCCCCCAATATCGCCATTCCTGAGAGCAAATACTTCTCAGGATCCAAACTCAGATTGCCCCAAATGACAGCATAACATCTGGTCCAACAGCTTTGCTGTTAATCCTTTCATAGGCTCCTCAAATAACTTACTTTCTAACATATGATTCACTGTTACATCAGCTCATGTGGTGGTGGCTATGTGATACAGTAGACACGGATGATGGAGTAGAGGCCATGCCACCACCAGAAAGTTCTGGTTGAATGGTCCTGTTTGAGTTGGGTACAGAATGGCTGCATAGCTACTATCTCCAGTTTCCTGGCTGACTTACCTCCCAGGGATCTGAGAGTTAGTGTGTAAAGGCTCATTTGAGTCTGGCAAATAATTCACCAAGGAGGAGCACGGATTTAGTGTTGCTTGGTAGACCAAAAAGAGGTCTACTTAAAGCATCAAACAGGGACCCCACACACTCAAAGTTGCACATGTGAGATACTGTTTTCATGTGCACTCACTGTGTCTCCTTGACAAGCTATTTTATAGCCCTATGATTTATCAAGTTGTATAATCTAGACTGTCATGTCTAGAATGATGCATTCAAATGCCAGAGGTGATGGGAGCAGAGAGGGAAAATGTATTGTTAGGTAAACTTTAGAAGCAGTTACATGGAAACAGTGTTTTAAAAATAAAAATGGGCAAATCGTTTCTTAACACTCAGCTGAAGTGGTGTCAGGAGCATTTCCACGTAGAGTTTCATCCTCAAAACTCTGAATCTGAAAAGAAAAGGAAGAGAGGAGGAAAAATTCTTATTGATGATAATGATCTTTAATGTACACCTTATGAGGGGAGTTAGGAGTAAAAACACAAAACAAACAAAAAAAATTCAGCATGTTTGAAAGTGAAAACATAACATCTTTCGGATTGTTCCCTTTTTGTTGTCTCCTCTTTAAAATAGTGTCAGAACCTTTCCAAGCTTTGCTCGAAGTAATCAATATACAAAGGTTGTAATACACTAACAATCTTATTTGAACAGCCTTGGAGAACTATCCCTGGGGAAAAAAATATGACTTAGCAGAAGGAACCCAAGAAAACATTCTTGCCAAAGAGTGTATGTACAGTCAGTTTTGGGTTTTTTTCCTCTAGGAATGAAGACCCATTTGACTTTTTCATGGTATCAATGAGAACATCATGTCATGGTGCTGCATAAACTCCTTCAGAAAAAATAAAAAAATTAAGAGAAGAGGTGATCTGTTAGATACAAGTAACACATGAACATTGATGTTGGGTGTGTTCTCCATGCAGTCTGTTGCTTAAAGGGATCTCTAATTCTCTCTTTGTCAAAGGCTAGAATACAAGAGAAGGATCATTGTATATGTGTCTGTTATTCTGTTCCCCACACATCTGCTACTGGCCATAACCAGACTATTAATTTAGGTGGCCCCATGGTTTCAGACAATACATGGTCTTAATTTAATGACATGGTAGAGAATACTCAGAAGTTAAGCAATATACACCCCATCTAATTTGGGCACACAGCATTCAACAAATTTTCTTAGACGTTAAACTGGGCAGTTTATGATAACCCGCATTTACTGCTTTGTCAAACGCCCTCCCTTTTGTGTGAGCCTCTAGTCACAGGGCTGCAAGTCCAGCATGCTAAGTGCTTTACAAAGATATATGGGCTGTTCTGGGACTATAAATTTGCGGTGCTGGAGATCTATTAAGTACACTCTAATTCCCATTGAGGTTGATAATCAGATTTGTGCTTTCAGTTTAAGTCAGCCACTTTTTTGAGCATGTGGGCCACAAGCAAAATTGGCTCCTTTCTTGGCCTGTCTTTGGCAGGCACCTCACATGCAGGAGAAAGGTGAGGCTGTTTTGCAACGAGGTGCAATGAAGCCCATACTTTCTCTGATGGCATCAGTGGACACTGGCAGGTAGGATATGCTGAGGCATTTTTGTTTCCTGGGTCAGACAGCCCAATGTAACACATGCAGAAATGTGTGCTCTGGACTGTGCCCCCCCTCAGCAATATCTGCACAAGAACAGGATGGCTCTTTCCTGCTGTGCAAGGTGGCTTCCCAAGTGCCACCAAGCCCTGTTTGAGTAGCAGTGTCTAACGAGAAGCCCTATACAGGATATAACTTATTCTTCTCCACTTCACTTGTGCAATCGCAGGTATGATCTTTGCAGCATCCAGCAGACTAGTCTTACCCTTGCCAGTGTCCTGTGCTTTGGTCTATTGAGTATTGACATTGGTCAGCAAAGATGTGAAGGCACTGGATACATGGTCAGGTACTTCCAGCCGTCAAAAATGTTCTTGAGTTTGGCATAATGGGAGGCAACATGGTTATTAAAAAGCATAATTTTAAATAATCAAGTACAATGATTATTCAAGCTTGTCATTGCCAAGACATGTACTAAGTACTTCATTTAAAAGTGGCTACATTTTTACATTTGCTTCCAGAGGACCCGTTCAAATTACATAGAGACATCATAGCATAGTTCTTTATATTAGACAAACACGCAAGGTTGAATTCCTTGGGTCAAGTGCAGTTGAATATTGCTTTGTGTGAATAACAGTTACAGAATTTAGCCTGAAATTCTCCAGTTGTCTGGGTCAGACTTGGATGCCATTTTTGAGGACTTATTTAAACTCGTGAATAAAGTTATTTAGATCTGACCTCAAATGTTTACAGCTGGCAGCTCTCCAAGAGAGCTGCAGAATGCAGTCATTTACTGATAAAAATTGACAGCAGAAGCTATAGTCTCATTTTCATAGGAGCACAAAGCAAATAACTTATCCCCCAGAAAGTCATAGCTGATGCTGTGTAAAGGTTCCCAGATTTTTTCATTTTACTAACCTCCTGTAATTTCTGGGCCCTTTTTTTCCATAGTGCAGTATATAAAGAGAAGCCAATAATGTTTTGTCCAAGGGATCTTGGAGATCTCCTTCACTACAGTATTATGAAGTCATTTATACAGAGAAACACAACACATTTGCTTGCACGTTGTGTCAGTACCTATCCTGAGGCAATGAATATGCCACCAGAACTCCTGCTTCCTTGAGAGATTCATTAAGCACAGTAGATGGCTGTTGTTTCTCTTAGAGAGTAGTCACATTTTCTCTATGCAATCTGCATGCAGGTGGTTGGTAAAGCTGCGTCACTGACAGTTAGTCAACAATGGGATATTTAACATGGATCTGAGTTGGTCCATAGTATAAAGGACAAATATAATGACATATAATTTCTGATAGTTACTTTATTTCAAGAATAGTCCTTATTGGTTTTGCCCCAGACATTGCCTGGTTTTTAACACTGGAGGAAAATTTTGCAACTGTTTAAAAGAAGTTTTTGCTTGATATTGTTTAGAGCTATCTGATCTATCAGTACATGTGATACAGTGTTGTATAATTTCCATTTGCTTAAGTTTAGGATTTCAAAGTTAATAATTTTTCATTTTGTACATCCACTGGGCTACCGCATGCTCTCCATGTAAAGCATATTTTATCCTCGATATTTCATCTAGCTCCCACTACATCAGGGCATAAACATGCCACGTGCTAATCTCCTTTGTCTGACAGCAGTCTGGTACAGCAGTCCAGTCATTTTTTTGGCTTGAACCAGAACAAAGTTTGCTGCAATTTGAATTTTTTTTTACCCACTGCTTAGCTTTTGTAAATTATTTCAAAGAACTTGAGACACCTAAAGAACAAATCAAACAAGAGAAATTATAAATGAACTACATAAAAATAAATGCCTCACTCATGTACAGTGTAATAAATACTCAGGTCAAGAAGAAATTATGTCAGGGACTATTTCCTGGGGTTGGATGGGACATTAAAGATCATCTAATTTTATCTCCCCTGCCCTGGGCAGGGAACTTCACTAGGTCAAGTTGCTCAAAACCCCATCCAACCTGGCCTGAAACACTTCCAGGAGTGGGGCATCCACAGCTTCTCTGGGCAACTTGTTCCCATGCCTCACCACCCCCTGAGTAAAGAGTTTCTTCCTAACATCTAATCTAAATCTGCTCTTTCAGTTTGAAGCCATTCTCCCCTGTCCTGTGACTCTCCATATTTCTTGTAGGCTCCCTTAAGGTACTGGAAGGTTGTAATTAGGTCACTCTGAAGCCTTCTCTTCTCCAGGCTGAACAATCCCAATTCTCTTAGCCTTAGATCATCTTGGTGATGGTCCTCTTTCCAACAGGTCTTTTCTGTACCAGGGACTCCAGCACTGGGTGCAGTACTCTAGGTAGGGTCTCACCAGAGTGGAGTAGAGGGAGAATATCACCTCTCTCAATTTGTTCATAGTTACAGGAAGTTTTTTGTATTTTGTTCCCTTTTCCAACATTGTTTTAGAATGACTGTCTCTTTAAGTATGAATTTCTGCCCCCCCCTTCCGGAGTCAGGAGGAGAAGGGAATAAATAAAAAACATCTGGGTGGGGAACAGAAACTCCTTCTGTTCTCTAGACCACATGGGTGTGCCTAGAGAGTCCTTGTGGGACTGTTTGCCATGGCCACAGCCACCACTTCTGACACTCTCAGACCTGCCAGACTTGCTGCTCTCACTGAGCCTGGACCCACTACCTCACCACCGCAGCCGGGGAGAAAACAAAAGTGAAATTGTCTACTGCTGCCGCATGGGACCACCACTGGCCTGTGCTGAGACCACTGAACTGCCATCGCCTGCCACCCAGCCAAGTCAAGCAGTGCAACATCTGTGCTGTAGGTAACACGTGGCAGAGAACAAAGAGGTTCTGAACTAACACCACTGCTACAGTGAAGACCAAGTGACACAGCATGGGCAGTTTAATAATATAATTCTTTGTGAACAACACAGTTTTCCTAGATTTTTGCTTTTGTCCTGTTTCCCATTGTTTTCTTTTGCTTAATTGGGCAGAGAGGGGGGTGGTTGACTGGGAAGACCCTCCACCATTTCTTTCCCCCTTTGTTCCTGGAGGGCCACGTGGGGTTGTGAACTCCCCTCTTTCTGGGTAAGCTGTTTCCTTCACATCTTTGTGGTTGTGGCTGTTTCCTTGTCAGTAAATTGATATTTTTTCAGTTATACTTCCTTGCATTTTGCCTCTCTGTATTGATGGGAAACAAAAAGGGGAGGGAGTTCATTCTGTTGGAGTTCCTGCCCGAATATTTGTCTTTAAACTAAGACAACCTGCTGGCCACACTGTTTTTGGTGCAGCCCAGAATACACTTGGGTTTCTGGGCTGCAAGCACATATTGCAGGCTCATGTCCTGTCTCTATCCACCGGCACCCCCTACTCCTTCTCATCAGGGCTGCTCTCAATCTGTTCATTCCCCACCCTATATTGATACCCCAACCCATGTGCAGCATCTTGCATTTGGTCTTATTAAACTACGAGATGATTTCCATTGGTCCGCTTCTTGAGCTTGTCCAGGTCCCTCTGGATGACATCCTGTCCTTTAGGTATGTCTACCACATCACTCAGCTTGGTGTGATTAGCAAATTTACTGAGGGTGTACTCAGTCCCAGAGTCCACTGGGACTCTGAGCTATTAACCCTTTGCATGTGACCATCCAACCAATTTCTAATCTATTTAAGAGTCTTCTCATCAAATCCATTTCCATCTACTCACGTTGATTACCTCTGATCTCTCTTTCCCTCTCTCTCAGGAGTTACAGAGAGAGAAATAAAGTGAGAGCTGAGAAACCTGTTTGATATGTCAGTTTGCTGTAAATATTGAAATGTGTGCTATAAAAAGAGAGAAAGAGAAAAACATATTTTCCACAATACTTTGACATTTCTGTTTCAATTCTCATTCCATCCATACTGCTTCCTTGGTGCAATTCTAAACGGGAATGCATGGGCTACGTGAGAGATCCTGCTTTACTGAGCATCTTAAGTAAACAGAAGATTTCAAGAGCCATCTGGCTAACTGTGCCTCCAACTTTTGGGATATGATGTCAAAACGGGACTTTTCAGATGGATGATGTACTAGCAGATTAACAATCTATTTTAATGCAAATACATCTTTAGGATGAAGACCTTATATTCATTTCTTAACAGCAAAACATATAAAACAAAATCTAAAAGCATCTAAGTGAATAAAAATCAAGACTTTGTGCTTTAAATGGTGCAATTTTTTTGTACTCCTCATCTATGCCTTAGGACATATTTGAAACACAAAATTGTTAGGCTCTAGTTAGGGATTTTTGGGTCTAATGCACAGGTTCTGGCAGCTCTAGTCACAGAAAGTTAATACCTTGTCATCTACTCTGCACATTGTCCTGTAGCAGGGATCCTGTGCCCACCAAGGCTAAAGGGGAACACAGGTCCCCGTCAGGCCTGACTGAATTCAATATCCTCTGTACTGGCTTACATCAGCAATGATGGCGGGTACATGTTAAGGTATCTACAGTGAAGTGTCTGAGTCACTTGACCCACATAATTTGGCAGCCTCTGCGACACCAAGAACAATCTCTGGTCATGGGATAGGTCTTATAGAGGATGTGCAGGGTTTTTTTTAAATGCCACAAGCTAGTAGCTTCAGCACAGAAATCAGTCCACAGCTAAGTAGAGCTACACAGTACTTAGTCATATTAGGAAGTATCATTGTCACAAATGGGGTGAGGTTCCTCGTTGTCTCCTAAATGCATGTCCCCTTTTCATTAATTTTCTTTCATAACCATCTTCTTCCCTACCTTCTAAGTTCCCACACTATTTATGGCTAAAACTCCTTTTGCCAAAATGTCTCTCCTTACCATATAGGTTTGGCTTCTCAATGTCCATCCGCTGCTTCTGAGCTTCCAAAAAGTCTTGGACATTGAACCCTTTTGCTACAGAAGCACCACTGAGGAACCGAGGAGGGATTTTTGTGCAGACGTCAGGTTCTTCTGTACCAAACCCCAAATTAAGCAGAATCTCCACTGGATCCTTTTCCCAGAACACCAGCCATTCAGCGATGCTGTGGTGAAAACAGGATTATTTACATTACTGTCTTGGTACCACCTTTCCCTTGCAGTAGTTATCATATGGTCTTGTTTTTAACAAGCAGCTATCTTCCCTTCTTTCCCCCTCCTGTGGGGACTACTTCTTAAGTGAAAGTAGTCATTTTGGGTTACATCGCTAAAAGATTAATATACGTTCCTCTCCCCAAAGGAATCTGGTGGCATTACATCTAGATAGCTTAGCAAGTAGAACATTAATAAAAGGTGTAGGTTCACAGCTCTGCAGGTTCCCTTCTCTCTAGACACAACATAGACAAGCATGCTGCAGCTGCCATAAGAACTCACAGCCTTTTATCTTCCAGGGGATTCACAGCCCGCTGCAGTTTCAGGTAGGTTTTGATTTTTGCACTGATGCAAATGCATTGGAGATCAGACACATGTTATTGTAAAGATTATTTTGCTCTTGTTCAAATAAATGAGTACATGGCTTTTACAGACTGAGACCTTGACTGCTTATTTAAAATTGTATTCATATTTGTTGATCCCTTGATGAACTAATACCTGGTATTCCTCAATGGAAATACATGGATCTAACTAACCTCTTGGGTGCATCAGTGAGCACAAACAAGTGGGAAGAGCTGAGATTCTTGCATCTTGACATAGCTGGACTTTCTGAAAACTCTTGCAGGGACCTGGTTGATAAAAAAGCAACTGTGAAATGTGTTTACTCATGTGCTCCTCTGGGATGTCATTATGATTTTTTCCTAGAGTAAACATTTGCATTTTGTCTTGGTTTATAATGATACATAATAGCAATGCCTTAGAAGAGGAGCTGCCATCAGTGTGGCAATACGCTTATTCTCAAGAACAGTATGTTACAGTAGGTGTGAGAATGTAGGTGTGAGGTACCAGTTAATTATAAAGGTGGCAGAATGGCTCACTTTTGACAGATGGTGAATCTTTGGGGAATCTTTAGAGAGCATGGTTTCTCTAGCCGCCTACTTCAAAAGATATAATCGCTCATAATAAAGTTTTGGAGACACAAGGCACAATGAGTTGCAACAGCAGGAGTGGCACCTGAGAATGATTCTCTGCTTCATTTCTTATGTGTCTGTATTTGTTACTCTGTAGAGAAATGACTGTTTTTCAAAGTGGTCACACTGCAAAAGGAATATCCCGCAGCACAGTGGTCTTTCTCAATAGGTTTTGTCATGCCTAACTTGAATTTTACCTACACATACCTATCAAGATCAGTAGCAAATGTTTATATACAGTAGAAATATTATATTGACAATTTTTTTATCATTGCAGGTTATCCATCAACTCACATCTTAAACAGGCCTAGAGGGATATGTAGATTTTTGAACTAACACTGTTGTGTATGAGAGAAGGAAACTGCAAAGAAGAATTAAAAATAATTTGGTGGTTTTTTTACCTTTTTGTCCCCTCAAAACAGAAATCTTTCAAACTAGAGAAAAGACCAAAACACTGATTTCATTAAATAAGGAAACACTTTAGCCTGAGTGACAAAGTTGCAGAACAATATCACTGTGGGAAGATCAAGTCATAGTTGAGCTAGATTAGTCACAGGATAATGCAACATGCACTATTAAGAAAGGGAAGACAGGTACCCTTACATTTCATAAACCAATAGCAGTACACACTAAGCCCCTGCTATTTAAAAGTAGGCACTATTAGTTGGGTTCCACCATCTGCTGCAGAACCATTGAAGATGTACACAGAGTAAATACGATTAAAATAAATTTTAATCCCTGGGTTTTTTTAATTAAAAACTCCCACAATTAAAATACATTATTTAAAGTTTCATTCCAACACATGCTGGTAGGATTTTTTTTTTCGCATATAACAGTTTCTCAAGTATATTAGAAATTTTGTGAATGTTTGTGAATATTGATTTCTCTAGGCTTAACATCAGGGACTAAATGTGTTTGAGAGTAGTGACAGTTGCAGAATACTTGCAAGAGTTTCTGGAGGAGGAAATGTATGCCATAAAACTGATAACACTGTTTGCTAGATTCCAAGTGTGCTATACCTGTGAGCTGTATTTGATTATTTAGTGAGGATGAGAAGGGAATAAATCAGATGCAAATACACTGTGCCCATCATTGTCACTTGCCCTCCTAACACCAAAATAACGATCTTACTGATCCTCTCAAAGCTGGGGTAACATTTCCCTATGAGCAGCAGTAGATAAAGTTTGAATGCCACAAGAAAAATATTGGAGGGGTTTTGTCTATAAAAATAAATGGAAGAGAAAAGGTTTTAAAGTTTTCTCACCTGTTTAACAAAATTCTGTCAGTAAAGAAGGAGTAAACCTCCTTTCATCTTCTCTATTGTATTATTATTCTGCTTGTAAATTTGAGCATGAGTTCCTTCTGGCTTACTCAGTAAAAGGATATCCATCCTGACTGAAAATATAAAGGTTACCAACATCCTGTAATTCATGTAGTAACATAAACTAGACTTTCTAGCAGCAAACTGAGCATAATTTGAATAAGAATCATCTACTTGTTGTGTGCCAACAGAAGCTATAGATTCACTATAAAATGTGAGAACTTAAAAAATTAGATTAGACAGTGAGTTAATAAGTATATATTCCTCTCTGTAAGACAAAGTGGCTGGTGATGTGATTTCCTCAATATCTCATATTGCCAGGACTGAATAAATAAAAGTGCTACCAAATAAAAACCTAGCACTGTAGAAAACTGGTCAGGGTGTTCAGTAAAAAATTTAATGATGACTTTAATGATGTTGTGTTTATAGGAGATGTAGGCAGTAGCAGGTCACCAAAAAATCAAATGGCAGAACGTGATAGTTTACCCCAAATTGGGTAAGAGGCAGTAGCTGGTGTGGCTATACTCTAAAACCAGGTAAACACTGGGTGTGACACCTTAAGTGGCTTTTGTTGTAGGCTAAAGAAAGTTGAATTGTCCTGTACTTCTGTGGGTCAAAAGTATACCCATACTAAGCCACCCAACCTGTTAAGTGGTGAACTCAGGAGCTCATGTCCACCTCATGACTAGGACAAACTTTACATCTTCAAGTAGTGCAACTCAAGTCATTTCACTCATGGTTAGAGCCTTCTTTCTCTAATGAAAAGACTCTCATGAGAAGTTTCTCATTAAAGAGGTTGACATTTATTAGAGGGTTTTTTCTCCATATTTAATAGGTCACAGAAATAGTAGTGGGGAGGGTGCAGTATTTACATTTCCAGATCTAAGTATTTTGTTTCCAACACTAGAAACACTGAATCTCATTACCAAACCGGAAAATATTTCAGGGGAAATAATGCCCTTTAGAAATCTATCAGAAAACCTTATGAAAACAAACAAACAAACAAACAATGCACTGTAAATTTGCACATTTAAGTATATCTGTAGTGGTTTGAACCTTGTTTTCTCCCAGAGGCTGAAAAGTGGTAACCCCCAGGGGTGGAAACCCCTGGAAGTTTTGAAGTTCTGTCCAATGAGCGCTCCTGCAGAAATGTAAACATATCACAAGCACCGGAAGAGAAGAGTTGTAGTTTGGGTTGTTAGAAGAAGGTAGCCATGTTGTAGGAGCTTTGAGGAAAGGGGCCCGGAGCCCCTCAGGGCCTCTGGGGCCCCCCAGCCCCAGTTGGGGGCTACAGAGACTTGGAACAGTGTTAAGCTGGACTATGTGTCTGTAGCTGTGAGCTGCGAGATGTTTTCCATCTTGAGTGAGCAGAGACAGAGCAGAAGCGGCAGCAGCGTCCAGAGGTTATGGCTAAGAGCCAGGACAGATAAGAACTGAACCGGAGGAAGCAGCAGAAGCTAGCAGCAGAGCTACAGGGTTCTGGGGGTAAGAACTGATATTAGACCCCCCCAAACTCCTTTGAGTCCTCCTGGAAGGAGGAAGATGATGGACTCTTACTTGAAAGAGCCTTGGAGTGCTACAGCACTTGCAGAGAGGAGCTGAGAAGCTCAAAGGCGTCCCGAAGCTGGACCGGGGTGGAGAAGGAATGGGGGAGGGGGGGTGACCTTGGCCCCCCTCGCTGCTGCTGCTAAGCCAGCAGCCTTGAGACAGAGCACGGAGCTCTGCAAAGGGGAATTTGAATCCCCTGAGGAAGGGACTTTCACGAAGATGCCCCTGCATTTCGTGATATACCTGTGGTGACGCGAGTCTGGTCCCTGCTGGCAACCCACAGGTGAGGCCTTTGCTTGGATCGAAGGAGAGTCGAGGGGCTTGGAGACCCCCTTGTGTGTATTGAACAGAGATCCAGCTACAACAATCCGGTTACTGCTGCATGCATGAGATGAGGAGAACCTGCTGCCTTAGAAGAAGCTGTTACCCTGAGAGACTGGAAGGGATCTGTCCTTCTTTCCCTCCTGGACTTTTATTTGGAGGGGAGAAGAGATCTGATCCATTGTAAATACTATATGTCATGGTAGAGATAGTTGTGATCGTGTGTATAATGTGTTATAGTATTTATTTGTACAGTCATTGTAATATATTCCCTTTCCCCCACTTTGAGTCTGGTTGTGTTTTGTCTGGAAAAAAAACCCATCTCACATTGGGTTGAGATGTGGGAGGGGGGATGGAGCTAGGGAATTGGATTTTGGGCTATCTCAAACCATGACAATATCTTTGCTTATGAATAATAAATTTTGCTAAGCAAAATGTGGCCTCTGATATTTGAGGGAAATTGAGCATTTTAGCCTCAGTCATCTCTAACAGGAGACAAGATTAAATCACGTACTGTTGAATATGGATGGCAGGAGTTCTGGAACACACGCAGACAATCAATATGATCAGATGATGTTCAATTTATTATTTAAATGAGTTAACTTTTATACAGTTTAGTTTTTTCCAGGTACGTGCTTACAATAAGGTGATTGGGTAGCTCAGTCTGTGCACGCATCTCATGCCTTCAGTTCATTGGTTCTGGTGCTCTGTCCACACGGTCTGACATCATTCGTGCCACCCAAAGTCCCTCCTATCGATCCGCCTTTAGGGGCTTTCCAAGATTTTCCAGGTGTCTCTTTATCTCCAGTTTCCCCACAACTTTCAACTATAAACACATGGTTTTCTCATACCTTACAACTATAAACATACAATATTCACACAGCTAACAACTATAAACTCACATAGTTTTATACAGTCTGCAAGTATAAACACCACACAGCTTGCAACTTCCAAAGTTATGTCAAGTAAGGCCTAGTGCTTCTTAGAAAGATGGATTGCTCATAATGTGTCCATTTTCCTGCAAATACTCTACAGTTGAACTGCATCTTCTACTTGTAAACCAAATAAAGAAAAAGTGTAGATATGGAAACACTGCTAAATAATATTCTGGACTTCCAAAATATTCTTCTGTGGACATGAAGAGCTGTGAATTGACTTGGGCTTATGGCTCCTTTCCTAAAAAAAAAAAAAAAAACCAAACCACTCTCTGAATTCACTGAGTTCAGCAGATCAGGAAAGTAGGTGAGAACGTGCAAAAAGTTCTGTGTTCAGGTCAGGCAGATTTACAGTCACTTCATGAGAGAATCTTCTCATCTTCCAAATGAAGTAAAAATATACAGCTTATCCATGAATATCATATTCTCCCAATAGCTTGCCCCAGCCTAGAGGTCTGTGGTGCTTGATATTTTATAATTAAACAGTCTTCATTAGAAATGATGAAGGATGTTATGATGTTCTGTCTTACCTCCCTGCTCTTGGCTTTGCAGCTTATCCCCACTTGTAGATAAACTGTAAGATAAAACCACTAAAAATAACAAAAAAAAATTAAATGCCCCAAAAGAACAGTTGCTGTGTCCTAAGAAGAGACAAGGTCAGGGAGGCAGTCTGATGGGCAGCACAGATCACTCAGGACATATATGGTGATGGCTTGTAGAAAAACAGATCCATAAACTCAACTTTCCTGCCTGTAAACATCATCTACTTTTCCCTCAGCATATATTGACCTCAGTTAAGTGTTGAGATTCAAATCTTTAGTTTATGCTTAAGGTAAAGACAATGAAATTTTAGCATTCTGCAGGAGTAAAATCTGTCATTTCTGAACTTAAATGTTACTAAGAATCAAATTAAATCAGCTTCTCTGAGCCAGGATTGAGTAGAATGGAAGCAAAAGCCTTTTCAGCGGATCATGTAGGAGGCATATGCATGATGACTCTCAGCTGATCCATGTCTGCATGGTGACATGGTAATTAATAAGGAAACCTGCAATAATGGCTAGCTGTGCTATGTATGAGTTTGGCTGACTTGGCCTTACCCTAATATTGGAAAATGTTGCTGTGACTGTAATATAAGACTATGGCTATTTTTTTACTTCTCACCTCACTTTCAAACGTCACTCCTAAGTCTTTTTGGTTGTTGATTGTTTGTACACTTAAGCCGCATTTGCTTTAGCAGTGAATGCATGAAGTCATACTGAAGAGTTCATGGGAAATACCAGTCTTTCAGACTTTGTTTTTATCCCAAAGTAGTACAAAAGTTAAAAATTTCTCAGTTTTGGTGAACGAAATACATTCAGTTTTAAGTTCAAGATTAAACTATATTTCTCTATAGCAGTACATTGCCTCATGGGGTTGTGGGCATATGAAACCACAGTTTGCACTATAAATCATGCTTGTACAGCAGGCTACATCTCCCCTGGGGCACACAGCAATGTGAAATTCCTACAATGAAGCAGATAACTTGTTCAGAAAGTGATCCAGACACATGATGGGAAATTCTATCCTGCAAAGAATAGCCTAGAAATTAATAGAGCACTGAGATATATTTCTTATGAAGTGCTGGGTCCTAAGCAAGATGTGTCATTTCAAACCAAATATTCGTGAAAAAGCATTTGATGTAGATCAACAAAATAAAAAGCTCATTCTTTTGTTGAAATCATCCAAAGTAGAATATTTTGTTCTGAGTTTTCAGGGGTCAGAATTTCCCTACTGTAAGACACTGGATTATTATATTAATTATTGGCTTGGACCAACTCAAGTGTGTGTATGTGGGGGGGAAGGGACAGATTGAATTTCACAGAAGTGAGGTGATGCCCTGTCCCAAATTCCAGCCCCAGCAGACACCAGGCAACTCCCAAGCAGCTGCCACTCAAAGGCAGCCCAGGAGCACTGCCCACATCCCACCTCGGAGCCCCTGACCCAGTCCAGGATTGGCTGGCACACCAGAAGTCCCAGCTGGGGGCAGGTTGTGTGGCCACAGCAGGGCCAAACAAATGAAAGCAGCAACATGTACTCTCTGTGCTTGTTCAAACCCTGCCACCTGGACAGGTGGAAGAATGACTCTCACAGGACTCCAGGTACCTATAATTTCCTCTTTTACTCTCTCTTTCTTTACTTCTTCTTCTCCTAATCTCCTTTCTTAGTATTTTGGGTAGCTTGAGATTGGATGGTTTGGATTTTGCTAAGTTGTATGGGTTAGCATGTGCTAAGTCAATGCTTTGTGGAATGTTACCCTTTAAACTTTTGCCAAATACTGTTATTTTCTAAAGTTTACCACTAAAAGTTTACCCCTGAGAAAATGTGTGCAGCTTTTCTCCTATACACTCTCTCTTAAGGTGTTAAAAGAACCCAGGGCTCTTCTAATATATCTGGAGGGCGGATATTGTCAGAACCTTGTATATTTTTAAAGTAAAACTCCTTTGGTGAGCTCATAGCTCGGGGCCTGGGGTCTTACACCTGCCAGAAACTTCAGTATTGTAGATATCATATTCCCTGCTGGAGAAATCAAATAACAAATATTTAGGTAATAAAGTGACACAAACTTACAGAACACAAGAATGTAACCAGTGATGAATATTTTCTTCTATAGAGTCTTCTAAAAGTAAAAGTAGAGCCCTTTGGAAGACTATTGCCAGATCAGTTCGTGACAATTGTATGGCTATTGTATGGCTTCATTTTTGGTGAATCCTGGAATGGATAAGAAATATTGACAGAAGAATCTAGTAATTTCCTTTAGTAGTCTGAGGGCTTTTTATAACCAAATTTGGAATGTAAAATAAAATTAATGTATACATAATATATTAATGTATATATAAAAATTATATGCAGCCATAAATTTTCTGGAAGTATCTAGCAGTCCTAATGAAAATTGAAAACCATAATTTCTGATTCTGCATGAATGAATCCCAATACACAGTTCCTGTATAGCTTGAAATAGGGAGACAGTCCCCTCTTCTGTGGAGGGAAGATCTCCTCCCTTTTACCTAGCTTGCAGGAAGCTTGCAGCGGAGCCAGAAATTGATCCCAGCTCTTCTACTTTTCAGTTTTCTAACCAGAAGGTAAGCAAGGATGACTCATAGATATTTAACTCATTGCTGAAAAATGCTACAGACAAGCCACCAAAGCCACCGAGACTGTCAGTTTAAGAAACTGCCTTGCTTTCCATTACAAAGGAGGGAGGGAAGGGTTGATTTGCAACATGGCTCAGCTGGACATAAGATAAAGTGGGAGGTGGTTTCCTTGCATTATCACCTGCTGGATTAAATGATACAACTCTCATTAACACAGTGAATTGACATGGAAAATGGGCAGCAATCAGAAGTCAAAATTAAGTCTCAAAAGACTTTTGGAATACAATGCCTATGAATTTACAAAGTTACTCTATTTTTTTTTGTTAAACTGCAGAGCAACAGGGTTGTGTTAATGTCTGCCTAGCTGTAACTCAGAAAGCTCATTACTGGTGCACTGAAGATTAGAATCTCCCAGTAAGACCAAATGTTTTCTCACAACCAATCTTTTAGGTTCCCTTTGTGGTCAATACAAAGAGGTAGGCAGTTCACACACTTTAGAAGGAAGAGAAAAGAAGGTCCTTTACTGGAAGATGGAAGAAGCAGCCAAGTCTTAGACTAAACACAGAACTCTGAGGTGATATTCCCTGACAAGTGGCACATTCACCCAAGAGAACATTAGAACAATGGTGAAATTTTGATGAAAACAAGATCAGATTTTGCAACACTGGTGATTTTTTCCCTATCCAATAAAGAAAAAGGAGGCAAAACACAACCACAATTGTGACACTGAGTATCTGGTACTTAAAGGCTCACCTGAGGAAACAAGAAATTTGTGCTTTTCTAACATTTCAATAGGAAATACAAACAGGTGCAAAGATTCCACCAGAACCCTGCAAGAACGAAATACTGAGAATAAAAATGAAGATGGAGTTAGTGACTAAGAACAACGCGTGAATGCTTGTCACCAGTAGAAACAAACTAGTACAGAAAAAGCCCCTGACATTGTCATCAGTCGCCATGGGATGCTGAGAATCTGCAGAACCTGATTTTTCCAGTCTTACCAAGCAGTGGCATAAAAGGGTGGTCTATCACTTTTAACGATCTTCATCTAGGTAAGCCCATGATACTCTGCTGCACAACAGAATCCTTTCTTTGTCCGCATCAAAACCATGGCTGGGATCTGATGCCATCTCAAAAAGCAAGTATGAAAACTTTTTTAGAGCCCATCAGTCAACAGAAAACTCTGTTGTTAGTTATATGGTGGGAAGCTATTTTTTGAGGCTGAATCCCTGGGCTGGCACTCTGGAAACATGAATTCCCTCTTGAATGGATAAGTTTTCTCTTTCTTTTACACATCAGTTTCCTCTGTGCAATGAAAATATAATAATATTTCCTCTTGCCAATAGTGTCCTTTTAAGTTGCTAGATTTTTGTCCTTGTAACAGAAATTTTAAAGTCCTCTGCAACAGCTAGCACTGGGGCATCTTGTTCCTTATCGAATCTCATATCTTTCAGAAATTAACCCTTTACCACATGTAGCATGCATTTGTGACCAAAAGTGAGTTTAGTATGATAGCACTGACATAGCTGTCCAGCTGCTACTCAGACCATGAAAACTGCTCCATCAAACCACAAAAGTAATTTCCTCTCAAGGCAACTATCAATCACAACAAAGTTTCTGAGATGGGCAGAAGGGAATCCCTTCATCGTGATAAAGATATCAAACAGGACTGGCAGTAGTACTGAGCCCTGGGGAACACCGCTAGAGACCAGCCACCAGCTGGATTTAGTTCCATTCACCACCACTCTCTGGGCCCAGCCATCCAGGCAGCGTTTCTGTCAGTGAAGAGTACATCCAAGATATGAGTGACCAGTTTTTCCAGGAGAATGCTGTGGAAGATGGTGTACCTTCTGTGAATGTTCTCTGGACCAAGAAACCCAACCTTCTTCGAAATCACTTAAATCTTTAGTCATAGTTAGTAATTTGTCAGTTGGTACACCTACTGACTTCTTTTCCTTTATTTCTGTTTAGGAGACTTTGAGGCTAATAAAAAGCTATGAGCAAAAGAATGAAAGAATGGGCTAGAAACATGCTTTATGCAGAGGATGGGTTATACAGCATGAACTGTGTTTTCCATGTCTTTTGACAGAGGGAGTCCAGAATCTTGTCTACTTGCTGTGGCCTCTCAAAGGCTCTTCCAGTCAGAGTACCGCAGTTGCATAAGAATGGTGCCTGCAATATCTGTCACTGCATTTGGTTAAAGGAAAAAACTGCCAGAAAATGGAGCATCCCATCTGTCAGAGAAGTTGTCAGTAGAAATACCCATGAGACAGAAGGTCAAAGAAAGGACAGTAGTGTTTTGGGGGAGTAAAAGAGAAGAGCGAGGCAGAAGGAACATTTTTTCATGTTAGGATGAGTCACAGTGGAGGAGATGCAGTGACACACCTTCTCAGGGTATGAAGTCAGTGTTTAAAGCTAGTTTGTCAGCTGAGTAATCCACTGGCCTGATGCTCTATTGGCCGACGACTTGCACAGCCATTTACAGCAGGGGAAGATGCTACAATGGGACTGAACTATAAATGACACAATATGAAGGGCAATGAAGAGTTTGGACCCAAATATGGGAAATACAGAGATAACTTTAATTACATTTAATTAGTGTTATCATCATTAATTTCCTCTGCATAGACAGCTGAAGACATTCTTTTGATTTCAAATTAATTAACACATAATGATTAATCTGATATGGTACATCTTTTCGGGCAAGAGTGTCCTCTTATTCACAGTTTGGGTGCCAGCACCAATCATCATCTGTGTGTTTTAATTTCTAACTGCTCTCCAGAAGCAGATTTAGCCTTGCAAATCTGTTGATGGAATGAATGACTGGCTGGTTTCCCTGTTCTGTGTGTTTTGTTCATTTGATAACACACTCAGAATATTTTGGAAATCTCTTTTTTACCCACTGCACCCTTTCCCCCTCCCTTCCAAGATAGTTTCAAGGTAGAAATCGAGGACTATGCATCAGCCATATATTTATACCAGCTCTTTACTAGAGAATGGGAGAAATGAAAAGTTTCTAAAAATCAAAAAACACATAAACATTTTGAGGGAGGTTCCCAGACAGATTTGTCTCACTTTTGTTGCCAGCATTTAACAGAACCATTCTCCCTGCCACCGATTAGAGCAAAGTGTGTTTGTTTCACCGAAACAGGATCATGAACTTCATCAGCTTCACATAATATACCTTACACTGTATGATACATACTGGATAGCACTGTTAATATTACTTTTTGCTTTTAATTTGTCAAGTGATTACTTCATAACACTTGGCTAATATTTATCCATTTTCTTTAGATGTTTATGAATGCAAACATGTCCATATCCATCTTCATGAATACTCAACTAGGCAGCCCCCAGTTATCTTCAAAATTGAGAAATATGCAAGTAAATTTTCGGTTATGTAGACATGAATTAGGAGGTAGAAGCCTTTAAATTCTCAAAATCTTCCATATCTATACAGAAAAGTGTTTGAGTATATTTGTGGTGACTGGGCTGGTTTTGCATGACAGCAGAACACTAAGTATACTTTTGCAACATGGAATGAATAGGAAAAAAATATGCTTTTTTCAGATCCCAGAGCTAGGATGAGAAGTTCTTCTTTTATCAACTTTATAGTTCATACTCCATATTATTTATGAATCAATTGCTGGTTTTAGGTAACCACTAAAAAAAGAAATGGGAGAAAAACAGTAAAAAATCCTTCATACTACTACTATCATAAGTGACACAGTTGTGTTATGTATTCTGGCTCAGCTACACTTCTTATGGCAGCTCCTTCAGAGAGGAAGTCCACAGTATCTTGATGCATCAATATCTGCTCCAGTAAACAAGTAGAAAGATGCATCTTGCAAGGTGCCCTCAGGCAAGAATAGTCATAATTTCTGGTCTGTATTATTCACTCTTTTCAGTTACCATATATTAGGATAAACCACTGCTTGTAGACCGAGGTCTCCAGTTTTCTCTCTGTCATAATCAGAAGCAAAAGGAGATGACAAAAACCTTTTGTCTTTAGCTTTAGGACCTGACTTTGGGGAGATGAATGAAGCTGAGGTCCCTTTTCCCTGCCCATCAACATTTGAATTGTTAAGCACACTGCAATTGTAGCTGCTGTGGACGATATTAATTTTTTCTGTCTCTACAACATGCCTGCCATTTGCTTGGAAGAAATAAAGGAAAGTTGGTTTGATATTCAAAGCACCTCTGGAACATCCACATGAACACTTACAGGTGAAGTAACTCCAGGGAATGAAGATTTTCTGGAAGCGTAAGAGGTAGTGAATGCTGTAATAACACTTAAAGCTTTCTCATATGCTGGCAAATATAAATTTGGGGAGGGTTCTACCCATGTGAATCCTTTGGTAAAATTTCTGTCCAGAGGCTGTGGTATCAACTAGTTCTGCTCTTTTCAAAGTCTTAGTGCTGGTTGACACAAGCAGTATTGCTCACTGTGAATAATTAAATTGGAAGCTGATGGTATCATGGTTCTGCATTTTAATCACCAGGTGAGCTCACTCTTATTGAGAAGAAACATTGCAGATAACACTAAATAAAGACATTTCACACAATCACAGAATCGGTAAGATTGGAAGGGACCACACTGGATCATCTGGTCCAACCTCCCTGCCCAAACAAGGTCATTCTACAACACACTGCACAAGATTGCATCCAGATAGTTCTTGAATATCTCCAGTGAGGGAGATTCCACAACCTCCTTGGGCAATCTGTTCTAGTACTTGGCCATCTGCACAGTAAAGAAGTTCTTTCTCGTATTCAAACAGCATGAGACTGTGCTGAAGTAGGAAAGAAGCATATTTTAAGCCTCCCAGATACATAAAGGGAAAAACATAAATTCAACGCACAGGTTGTCAAAAGCAAGAAAACAAAACAACAACAGTGAAAACAGTATCAACAGAAATAATTTTGTAGTACACTCAATTTGAGTCTGTTCCCTTTGCTAAAAAAGCTGGTCAAAAGAAACAGTCTATGAAGTTATGAAAAAAAAAAATGTCGGTTTGTCTTTTTTTAAAGATATCAAGAAGAACAAGGAAGGGCTGTTTGCCAGGAAGTGGTGTTTAAGTTGGCAATTTGACCTGATGATAGTTTGCTTAGCCTCTAGGCAAGGGGAAAGCAGAAATCAGGACTAGTCTAATTTTTAACAATGGGAATTCTAGATAAAGGCAAGATAGGAAAAAGAGGGTGGAGGAATGAGTGCAACAATAACTGACACGGGGGAAAAATGAAAAAAAAAAACACCAAAAAACCAGAAGGTGCTTTGGTTGCTTCCCATTCCACAAAATCTATTGCTATCCCTTTATGTCCATATGCTTCCTTGGCACATGTACCAGGGGGAGGATTACACTTTACTAAGGAAGTAATGCAAACTTGTCTTCGTTTGGTTACCATGGATATGGCACTATGTGAGACAAAGCCTACCATTTGCATTGCAAACAACCAGGATCAGTGAAGAACACACAACTTGATATTCTGGCCACAGAGTGTCCCAGGATCTTCCTTGTCACAAGAAAAAGAACCATAGCTTTAGGTCTGTGCTAGCTACCAAGAGAACAAAGGTAATGGATGTTGCATTTCAGATGAAGAAGGAAGAGGCAGAATCACACACATCTGCAAAACAACTGGCATTTCTTGTGCTACCTAATGTGAAATATCTAACAGATAGGTATGGCAACCATTTAGCTTTCCGTCTATCCCCCTGGGGTACTAGAGCTGAATCAATATGCTGGTAACCTGGAATAAGGGATTTCCACAAGCACTGGAATGGGCTAAGAAGTGGCCAAGTCTTAGGATTGTTGTCTTTTTGCAACAGTTTTTATCCAGCTGAATGTCCTCTTCATTCTGCGGAAGTACTATATAAAATACTTTAATTTTATAAAAAATACAGTTATATGAGCAGTCCTCTAAACAGGAGGCAAATTGTCTTATTTCCCTAAAAGAAATTGTGTATGATTGTTTGGCTATTAGATTGCTAGATTCTTAGTTTAGGGGTTTTTTTTTTTATTGTTTTAAGCTTTGCCAGATATATGGTCATAT